ACATAGGAAGAACCCTCACCATACCCATATAGTGGGTGGTGGTCCACTGACTGGCACTGCATCCAAAAGGAACCTGGGGGTGTCAATTGACCAGAGAATGAATATGAGCCACCAGCGTCACAAAGTTGCCAACAGAGCAAATAGAATTCTGGTGTGCATCAGCAGATGTGTCGCCAACAGATGCAGAGAGGTGCTCCTCCAACTCTGTTCAGCATTGGTGAGGCCACAGCTGGAGTACTGTGTCCAGTTCTGGGTACCACACTTCAAGAAGGATGCGGACAAACTCAAAAGGGTGCAGAGAAGGGCCACCCGCATGATCAAGGGTCTGGGGGACAGGCCCTATGAGGAGAGACTTCAGGATCTGGGTTTGTTCAGCCTGAGCAAAAGAAGACAGAGAGGTGACTTGATAGCCGCCTACAAATATGTCAAGGGAGAACACCAGGATATAGGAGAACAACTTTTCAGAAAAGCCCCCCTGGGAAGACGCGGACCAATGGACACAAGCTAGTTGAGGAAATGTTTTGTCTAGACATAGGGAAAAACGTCTTTTCCATATGGGTAAGTAGAATCTGGAACACACTTCCAGCAGAGGTGGTGCAGTCACCATCCGTGGCAGTCTTTAGGAGGAGGCTGGACGAATATTTCGTTGACCTTGTTTGAGCCCAGTTACCTCCTGTCCATGGCAGGGGACCAGACTTGATGATCTTACAGGTCTGTTCTAGTCCTTCTTTCTATGATACTATGATTCTATTTCAGATACCACAGTACTTTTTCCTCAAGTCTAGGGGAGAAGCAGACACAGCAGAGCTAAATACCTTTAACACTTGTGGCAGTTCATCTCTACAGAAGTTCAATCCATACATACAAGCCTGTGGTACAAGAGGTGTTGTATATGTGCAGTGGGCTTGTATTGACTTGGCACAGTACTTTCCAATGTGTTCAGTGTTGGCTTAACTTTGCTGCCTGCAGAAGTGGATTTAAGCCAGTGCACAGGGCTTTCAAAATAGAGCAACAATTTTCAGGACTTACAAAACTATTCTAAACTAGGTTTATGATGGAAATGGTTGCGTTATAGACTCATCCTAAATTCTGGGCGGGGTGAGAGGAAAAATCCCTTTTAATCAATATGGTTTTGCCTTCCCATGGCTATTCTGGCAATTCCAGTTTCACAAATTTGTGTGAAAAATATCTGATTTACAGTCTGGAGCAGATCAGAAAGCCCTTTGACTATCTTTGCATATTTTCTTTTGATACTGGATAAATGGATGCAAATCCATCCCTCACTATAGTTCTTCAATAGGCATCCAATTGAGGGGAATATGAGGCATGCCCTGAGGAACTGTCAGTTTTTATAGCCAGTCCCTGGAGACTTGCTGAATAAACTACACAGTGTTCCCCACATTATACTCTCACAGGGCATTTTTGTGTTCAAATTTAACTTCTTGTTATAAACTTCTTAGGTTTTGAATGGTCTATTCTTGCCCAAATATGTGGATTTTTGAGAGTCTGTTTTTATTTTTATCACCTGTTTTCAAAGGAGATTAATATTTTTTTTAAACAGAAAAATTTGAGGTCAGATTTTTTAGTCCAGGGCAATTGAAGTGTCTCAATGTCACCAAGAACAATGAAGCTTTCAAAACATAGTAGACTGTTATCTTCTTCAGCTGTGAACCTTGAATTATTTAACATTGTGAGGCTTTATTCCCAGTCATCTTGTGAGCTGTGTGTGTCAGAGAACATGGAGGGAAAGTGCTACTATCAAAAGCAGAGGTTGTCAGCGAGAAATGGGGAACCAGATGTCACAATATTATACTGAAAACAAAGTAAAATCAATGTTTTGTTCAAGCATTGTGGTGTTAAACAAGGACATCTGGTCCCCCTTCAACATTTTAGAATGCTTTGGCTAAGTACAGATGGTCTAAAATCTTCACAGGTTAGTCTAAGTTGTGTAGACTGAATCAATAAGCAAGTAAACAGGCATTCTCTTTTGATTCTGGAAATGCAGCCACATGCCTGCAGTGGCCCTGGCAAGAAGCATGCCTCCCTGCTTTGGCTGGAGCAGACAGCTTGGGCCAAGACTAGCTCACCCACCCTGCAAGGTGGGAGTTTGCAGGGGATGCTAGGGGATGTGAGTTAGCTTGAATTTGGAGGGTATCTGGGACAAAAGTTCAATAAAACAATTTAAACTAAATCAGTTCAGTCTGATACTATATCCATCCAGGTTTATCTTAAACTGGTTTTGGCCATTTTAAAGCGGTTTGTGTGTGCTGAACTTCTGTTACATTACAGATTTGAACCAGTTTCTGATCACTTATGCTAGTTTATGTGTAATTTCAGTCCTTAGCCTTTAAGTCTGCCAGTTATCAACACCAGAATACTGTTTTCTTAATCCTTTATAGTAATTTTAATTGGACCAGTTTGCTTTGTACCTGTTTAACATCCTCTGGAAAAGAAGTGGATTTTTAATTTGCTTCTTTGAGCAGAAATTTCTTTTGAAATGGCAATTGGTGTGTACTGTAGTGTGTAGAGTATAAGGCATTTCCATCAACAACATAGGGGAATGAAAGTTGATTAAAAGAAGGCTGCAGTTTCTTGTTCCTGCCCTCTATCTTGCTTTTTCTTTGAGATTTCTTCTGAGAGTTAGAAAAGAGGTAGACATTATCTGGGAGATTCCAGTAGTAGAAAACAGTCACCTCTTTTGAAGCTGTCCACTTCAGCTAGCTTTTTTGGGGTGAAGCCAGACTAGCCATGTGGAAGATACAGTGGCTTTTCTTTTGTCTTTCTGTCTTGTTTGTGTTGGACTATCTGCCATACATTTGGGCTATATGTAGATGTCTGGTGGGAATGTCTCTGTTTCTGTGCCTGGTTTCAATCTGTGTAATCCCTGGCATGATTAAATGCAGCTGTGTGGTAGCTATCATCCTGTGCTCTTTCCTTGGTTAAGGGGCTGTCAAGTTCCCTGCTGGTCTCTCTAGCTTGTTACAAATTGAAAATTTGGAAACAGCGTAAAATAATGTTACCAAAAATATCAAAAGGCTGTTTGAACAGGGGTCCTGCCTTGGCAGTCTGAATTTCCTGAGATGTATGTCATTGTAGTCTCACCCATAACATTGAATTAATATAGTTTTAACTGTTGATACACTATTTAAAATTGACAAATGAACTGCATTGGGTTATTGAAAATAGATGTTTGGTGGTAAAGCATGAGAGCAAAGACTAAACAATTATATCATGATAGCATCTTCAGGGAATTGCTGTAATTCCTCAGAAGTTAATACAGAAAATCTATTCATAACTGTACAATATACTTTTAGCATCAAGATTGGCTGAAGAACATTAATCCTTTTATTTCAAATTATCTGAATACTGGCATTCAGTAATGTTACAGTAAGCAACTGTAATATTCTTTTCAATTTGACAGCATATCATAAATTGAGGGTTCTGGATCTTTAGCCAGACAGATCAGTAGACTGCGTTTTAAAATTCCAAGTTACCATGATTTTGTTACTGTTGCTAAGTTTTTAATATAGTAGAGCGCAGTGTAGAACATTTCTAACTCAAACTGCCTGCTCTGTCTCAATTATTTAAATGGTATAGTTGTAGGTGCTTTGATTTTTGGAATTTAATATTTCATTAATATGACGATGCAAGGTTCACTTAGATTAGTAGTCACCAACCAGTGGATCTTGATCCACTGGTAGGTCTCGGAGCCTTTTGCAGTAGATCTCAGAGCTTCTTGGAGTTGATCTGAGGCTGGGGTGCAGGGCTGAGTACCCGTGTGCATGCCCTAGGCCAGCAGGTCAGTCCGTGGGTGGGGGGGAAGAGATGGGGGCTAGATCGAGGCCCACACAGTGCAGGACAGTGCCCCAGAGCCAGGACCAGGGGTAATTTAAGTGGGGCCCCAGCTGGGTGGGACTTACCTGCTGGGGAGGTGCACCCTCAAATATTTTTTACTCCCTCTGCCTCGATCAGTCCCACAGACTTACCTGCTGGGTGGGGGGTGGCAGCAGCACATGGTATATCGTGGGTTGCTTTTAAATGCCAGAGGTGATCTCCTACTTAAAAAGGTTAGAGACCACTGACTTGGATTTTGACGTGTGGTTGTTCTGTGCATAAAAAATAACTTCATTGTAAAACTTAAAAAATTCCATTAATTTTTTGTACACTGTTTAGAATGAATGACTAAATATTTTAGCTGTTTTGTACACGGAATTTCCAGTGCTGTCTAAAATATATGTATGTTTGTATCAAAGATAAGATTATGATGGTAAGTTGTTCATTATTTTCTCATAGGACCAAAGAATACAATGCTTCGTCTAGCTGTAAAGTTTTTCCCTCCTGACCCAGGTCAGCTGCAAGAGGAATATACCAGGTAAAATATATCTTAAAGTAGTGAATTTGTATCAGTAACTAACATGGAAATGAATAGAAGATAAAAACAAGATGGGACTCTGGGTTTTTCCAAAATACAGATTAGCTGTATTATGTTGGACAGGAGTATGCATGCATTTTTAGGTGGAATACCAGTACTGTCATATAGTATGATAACTATACACCGGTGTTATCATAGCGTATCAGGTGGTTGAAGGTGTATGCGTCTAAAAAAGCTAGTGAAAATTTTCATGAATAGATAACGCTGCAGGTCAGCTGGAGGCATTTTCTGCCTACCAGATATCACAATATCAAAAATAGCATTTAAGAATGAAGGAAATGGTCACACTTTATACACTACAGTGTTAATTGCTTAAATGATCAATAGATGTTTTAATAGATGTTAATTATCAAAAAAGTAAGTAGACTACTCTCAGTTGTCTAATACTTTCTATTGATATACTTTTGCCACTTTATCACATGCATGCCACTTGTGTCAGTAATGTGCTTATAGCTTTCAATTATTTGCTAATCTTTTATAAAGTGTTTATAAAGCTATCCCATCCCAGTTCCCTTCTCTCTGCTAGAAAATGTGTTTGAAGGGGTTTGTCTTGAAGACTCGCACTTCCCAGAAGGGCCAGGAGTAAACCTTCAGACACTGTCTGGGAATGAGCTAGTTGTGTTTTGTTTATCTGCTCCTTGCTCATGGTTTTCACCACAGCCTGTCATACTATCTGTCTACCATTTACTTCTGCCTGCACACTTCATCTCCGTGCCTTAGTTAACATTTACTCCTCGACCACCTTTATCTACTCTTCTCTATTCCAGTCTCCCTTTTTTTCCTATTAGCACAAATCTAAGGGCATAAGCATGTAAACCAGTTACTGTAAAGCAACCTGTCTGCTGTCAGATAAGAGTACCATTTTCTCTAGTTGGCAGATGAGAAATCAGTAACAAACAGAAGCTGCACAAAGAATTGGCAGAGCCTGTAACTATGACTGAAGATATCCTGATGTAGAGCCCAATGCATTTCTTTAGATCACAGTGCTCTCGGGTCAGAAATGTTGATGATTTATCTCACTGTTTCTCAACCCATGGATTGTGACCCAAAAGTGGGTCATAAAAATACTTCAGAGGGTTGTGAACTGCAGCAGGGCAGAGGGGGCAGTGGGACGGCTTCTGTCCCTTCCAGTGGGGGAGAGCTGCATGGCTGGGCTGGCAGCACCAGGGCTGGTGCCCATGCTTGCAGGAGCAGGGCGGCTGGGAGATGCTGCGCAGGGGGCAGGAGGGGCCATGACCAAGCTGCCTGGTGTGGTGCAGTTGCCCCAGCCCAGGGCATGGGGCGTGCCACAGGCCTCTCCTCCTCCTCTTTTCAGCCTGTGCCGGGCCCGGACTTTCATCGCTGCCACCTACATGAACCAGAGCTGCCGCAGTCACTGCATTCCAGTCTGAGTGGGATGAGGGCAGCTAGGGGCTCCTCTGGCATGGCTGGTGGGGACACAGGGCTGTGGGTTGGGAGTGAGGGATACCAGCATGAACCAGGGGGGCAGGGAACTGGGGGTCAGGCACTGGCAGAGCCAGGTGAGTGTAGGTTGGGACAGGCCATGGATCTTTTTGGTAGGAAAAAGGTTGAGAACCACTGATTTAGCTCATATGAGTGTTGTTGAGTGCTCAGCACTTGTCCAAGTCCAAGCTCATGTCAGGAAGCTGCCAAAGTCTTGTTTTTTCCCCTTATCACACGGAAACTGTGACAAAGGAAGGAATCAAATTGAGTCCCCCTGTGTGGCTTTCAGCCTTCACAATCTTTTCTGTCCCTGCAAACCCTAATTACGTTTTTTCTACATCTTGCAACTTCTCCAGCCAATGAGATAGTGATCCTATATTTTCAGCCTTTTCACTGTACACCCTGGATTCACTCTGAATGCAATCTGTTTGATGCTTTATATGAGATGGGCCTTTTAGCAAAAACTTTGTGATGGTCATATAATTGAAGATAAAACATAAAATGTACGAGTGGGTAGAATAAAAATCGTTCTTTGTGGATGTGTCTCTGGATTTGTTCCTTTCTTTCCTTCATGTACAGTTGTATGCACCCATGCGTGCAAAATCTGAGTCTTTTGAATAGCAGTATCTGTCAAGTCTGTGTGTTTTTCCTGTGCCTCCTATTTCAGGATCCCATATCAGGACCTAAAGGGATAAAGTGGTTACCACTCAGCCAGATAGAATTCACCATTTCCAACTTACTTATAGTTTCATATGTTTTCCTTTTCCCTAATTTGAAGAAAATTAATCTTTTCCCATTTTCTCCTGCTCCAAACTGAACAAAAGAAAACAGAAAAGGACAGACAGTCCCTCTGTACAGTGTGATGGAGTGCTTCATACCAACTGACATGGCTCACAGTAGATTCGGTATCAAGGTTTAAACCCTACTTGTCTTGTGACAGCTTCATACCAAAGCCTTCACTGATGGACTGTGATGGTGCATTTTCTGCTAAGGGGAAAACCAGACCTTGAGCAAGTGTTTGGTGTCCTAAGGTCCCAAAGAACAGTACTGGAGTGCCCTTTACTTAGAGCTCTGCATCAGGGAAGCCATGAGTGACACTGGACTGGTCAGCTTCAGCCAGGCCAGTACCCCAACAATGTGCTGCTTTGCCTGTGTTGCTCTTATTGCAGACCATTCTCTTATGTGTGACTGAGCAGATCTTTTCTCACATGAGAACGGAGGATATAGACATGAGCCACGTTAGTTATGGTTTGTTTTGGACTGTCCTCAATAGCTGAAAAGTTCTGTTTGATGTATTTTCTGAAAAATAGTTGTCGAAGCTTCTCATTTTACAATTTCAGACTCTTAACCCTCCTTTTTTAGATACCTGTTTGCATTACAAATCAAGAGGGATTTAGCAGAAGAACGACTAACCTGCAGTGACAATACAGCAGCACTTCTCATCTCTCATCTTCTACAATGTTAGTATCTTGTGTTTTACATCAGGTGATATTGCCACTGCTAAAATGAATTAAACCATAAAAGGGTACCCACAAGGCATTATATATACCTAGACAATTTAAATATACAGTGTTTTGTATCCGATATATAATACTGGTATTAAATCTATTTTGTTTTATTTTGGACATTTTAGCTATGGACTAATCACCAAGTATACTAACACCATAGGGACTGTCCAGGTTCCAAAGGTTTGAACTGGAGGCTATTTTAAGAGTGCTGTGGTTAAAAGCAGGATGGTATTGGCTGCTGGGAATTGGGACTGAGTTGCAGCTCTTAAACTTGTGACTTTCACCTAGTTCTACCTCCACCCAGTAATCCCTATTTTCTGAGCTACCCTCCTTATGCTTTGGCTTGCCCCTGTTATCAGTTTCCAATTTCCTGTTTGACTGGAATATAGGAAGACAGGAGGAGTTGGAGTGAATTAAAGCACAAAGCTGGCAACAAGAGAGACCAGGATTGACAATAAGGATGTTGTCTTGCTGGTGTGGAATTGTGCTAGGAAGAGATGGAGTGAAGGGGAGTTAGAAAAACATGTGGGCTCATGCTTGGGAGTGAAGAAGGGCATGGTTTTCTGACTCTGTTCATTCCGGCTTCTGGGCCCAGATTTTACATGCTTAAACGGCTTTGAAAATCCAGCTCAAAGCCATGCATGTTGGAGTACTAAGACAGAAGACGAGTGAATATAACTTCCATTTATGCTTCTAAGAAGGAGCTTAAGCATTAAAGGAGACAGACAGTAATATATATTTATAAATCAGACATCTAAGATAAAGGGATAAGTTCCTACACTCTGTGTGTCTAACTAAAAAAAATGTTAATAGCACCTCTTCAGAAATACAGTACAATTTAATCTCAGTTATTGGGAGACCAGATCTCTTTGTGCTATTCAAAACCAAATGGAACAGCTGAGTAAGTAGCAGCATCTGGACCATGCTGTTTTCAGGAATATATATTTTAAAATGCTGGATAACCAAAGGTGACGAAGAATATAAGTATTTTTGTTTTGATACAACTGAAATGACCATTTATTTTTGCATCCTTAAAAGGATCTTAGTTATGTAGGTCAGCTTATATAAATAGGATATTGCCATAGTATTCTTCATCATTATTTCAAGTAATTTTATTACATTTTATTTTAGTTTAAGCTTCAAGGAGGTATTGGTATGTGTTTATCATGGTCCTGCAAGAGTTTTCTTTATGTTCTTCCTGTCCATTGAAAACTTTAACATATAAGAAGCTTTAATTTTTTACCCAACACTAAAAATAATTCTGTACACTAGATAAAAGTTTCTCAACCAGTAGGCCATGGTCCCTGTGGAGAAGGGTGTCATAACATTCAGAGATATAGTGAGGCTTGGAAAGTTCTGTTACATTCCCAACAGAAGAAATTCTTGCTCTCACAGTCCTGGCACATAACATTTTCCATCGAGGTCAAGTATTTCCTGTCAACCTGCCTGCATTGTTGTTACTATAAATTATAACATATTTTATTACTTTCTATTACAGCTGAGATAGGGGATTTTGATGAATATGAGGATTGTGAACACCTTAAAACAAATCGATACTTGCCAAACCAGGAAAGAATACAAGGAAAGATACTGGAGTTTCACAGGAAGCACATGTAAGTGCAGATTAATGCAGGGGTTTTTTTGGAACTGGTCCAGAATGTACAGCATATGAATGAAAGTGCAGGAAGATAAGAAAGAAGAGAGTTGTCTGGTGGAACCCAGTGTGGTTGTGGGAGTAGTATAAGAATCTACATACAGGAGCAGTGAGTTAAGACCTCACTTGTAATCACCAGGGCAAACAAATTTAAAATAATTGTAATATTTGTTTTCATGTTCTAAAAGAATTGTAGCACAATTTGATTCAAATCTGTATGTGAATAGGGCTAAATAATTTTTCCGAGAAGACTTGACATGTGGGCAGTCTGCAGTTTTACATACGCTAACTTCTTCAGATTGGTGACCCATGATAAATGCTGATGGTAAGGAAAAGGAAAGTGACAATGGTGGCATCAATTCATATTCTAAACTTTGCCAAATATGGTATACTTACAGCAAGCTCATGGGTGTTTGTAAGACCATTGTCTTTTCACTGCCATTAATTTTGGTTACACAAGTAGGATGTGTTATTTAAGCTAGCAGATATTTTTAATTCTTAGAGTAGAGATCAGGAGGAGGAGGGCAAAGAGCTGCTATGTTCTTGCAATAACTTTCTGTGACTAACTTTTCAATATAGATTTAATATTGTAAACAAAGAAGGGTATCATGAAAATACTGCATAAAAACGTTATGGTTTAATCGTTATTTTTCAAGAAGTCAGTGCTGCAGAACTTAAATCCAGTTTGCCATTGAGTATATGAAGGCTTGTTCATAACTAAATAATTAAAGACAAAATTGCTTTGTATGGACATTCTGTTCTCTTCAAAGCATAAACAGAATAGAAAATGAAATCAGTGGAAAAGAAGTTACTATAAATAAGTAATCAGATAACACAAAGTATAGAAATCTGGATTTACCATGATAAGAGATACTTTGAGAGATAAGCAGCAGCAGATTCATGAGAATCTTATGACACACAAAACAAAAGAGAATCATTGGTCTAAATAAAAAATACAATACATATGCAGTGTGAATGAAATAACATTATTCAAAAAATGTTTATTCAGAAAACATTTTCCAGTACTTGATCCTTTTGGTTGGAACTTGTTCTACTGAGGCTTATTAGCATAACTAGTTTCATCTTTGACAACAGTCAGAAGATTCAGGCTCTGTATCCCAGGGGCAGGCAAAATACAGACCACGGGCCAGTTCTGACCCACCAGGCTATTTCATCTGGCGTGTGGGTGCCCACCAATTAATTGTACCCCAGCCCTCCCACCCTTGCACACGGGAGGACCTGGGCCCCAGCCCCAGCCAGCATGCACAGCTTCCAGGCAGGGCTGCTGCTGCCATTCTGCAGCTGCTGGGGAACCTGCTCAGCTTCCCTGGCCTCCAGCAGCTCCTCCTTGTGTTCCTGCTACAGCACTCGCTCTGGGCAGCAGGTAGGGAAGCAGTGGCAGGCAAGGAAAAGCTGCACTGGGTGGGAGCACAGTGTGTGGAGCTGGGGCTGGTGGGCGTGCAGAGCTCCAAACCCAGGGCCTGTGCCCAGCAGGGTGGCAAGAATCTGGAGCTTGTGGGGTTTGTAGGATGCGGGGGGGGGGGAACTTCCCCAAGTGCCCCTCTCCCCCATAATCCTCCATGGCACAGGGTCCTTGCCACTGGCAGCAGCAGCAGGTCCTTGGGGTGCTCATGGCCCATGCAGGCATAGCCACCACTACCTGTTGGCACACGGCTCCAGCCAGTTCTAGGAACTGCATATGGCAGCAAAGAGCAGAGCTAGGCCTGCCTGTCTCTATCATGTGGGGCTCACATGCAGCTCCTAGGAGTCGCGTGCCACCGGGGGGAAGCCCCACGCAATGGAGCCAGCTGCCTTCCCTGCTGCCATATGCAGCTTCTGGGACTCCAGCAGGAAGCAGGGAGCAGGTCTCCTCACCACTTCTGGGAGAGTCCTGGGAGCTGCACGTGAGCCCTGTGCAATCGAGGTTGGCTGACCTAGCTCTGCTCCTTGCCACCAATGCATCTCCTGGAACTGGCTGGAGCCACGCACCGCCGGGTGGCTGAGCCTGTGCAGGCTACAAGCACCCCGAGGGCCTGCCGCCTGCTGCTACTGCCAGCAGCAGAGGATGTATACTGGGGGGGGGGGTCCCCTACAGCCCCCACACCCTTCCTCACATCCCACAAACCCTACACACCCACACCCTGCCCATACAAACAACTCCACCTCATGTACACACCCCCACATCCCCAACATATCCTATACCCCCACACACAGCTACACCCCATCACAAACCCCACACACACCCCCCCACTCACCCCCACACACAATATACAAGAGTAAGACATCATTTTTTAGCTATTTTGCAATCATTGCTATATATACTATACAAACACACAAATTAGGACAAAAATATTTTTTTTAAATAAAATTAAAATACATTATAGTAGATGTTTGACTTTTAGTATGGGGTGGGGGGTTCCCAGTTCCAAGATGGCATTCCCCCCGGAGTACTTTCTGGGGCAAGGGGAGGGACTTCTGGTTACAAAGGTCAGGGGTTAGGAGCGTGACTTTGGGTCCCAATATGGCACCCAGGGGGCGGGGGCTCCTGTCAAGGGGCAGGTCTGCCCTTGCAGCCCTCTCAGCTCACCAAAACTCATTAAGCGGCCCTCCAGTTGAAATAATTGCCCATCCCTGCTGTATCCTCTCTGTCACTCTAAGTGAATTTTAGACTTATGAAATTGTGAAAAATTGTGCATTGAAGATCAGCCTAGAACTGGTGGATGGGAACAATCCAGAACCGGAGTTTTGCAAATCCACATTTTTAATCAGGTGTATCCTCCCTTTTTTGCTCTCTCTGTCTTTTTCAGTTTTATCTTTCATATTTTCTTTTTTCCTCCTTTTAACCTTTTTCTTCCACCCTCTTCTAGTGTTTTAGTATGTGAGATAATTTGTTCTCTCACTGCTTCTGACTTCTGAATTCACTTTTCTGGAGACAGTATTTGTTGCCTTTCCCCTCTGTTACCTCTTCCCCAAATTCCAAGTCTTGCACTGGAGATCTTGGCTTTGTTTTTTGCCTGTTTGAGATTACAGTACTTCCCTGCATCATTTTCATTAATGTTTTGGATGATGGGATAGAGTGCATGCTTAGCAAATTCATGGAAGACAGTTGAAAGCAGTTCCAGATACTCTGGATGGCAGGGCTAGGATCCAGAATGACCTGGATAAACTAGAAACATGGTTTGGAATCAATCTCATGAAATTCAACAAGGACAAGTTGCAAAGTCTTGCTCTTAGGCTGGAATAATTGTATGCACAAATACAGGCCGGGGAATTATTCGCAAGGCCTGTGGTACTATAGAAATGGATCTGGGAGTTATAATGAACCAGAAAGTGAATGAGTCAGCAGTGCACTCTAGACAAAAAAAAGCCATCAGCATACTGGGTTATATGAATAGGAATGTCTCTTGCAAATCAAAGGAAGTTATTCTTCAGCTCTGTTTGGCCCTTGTGAGGCCTCATTTGGAGTACTGCATCCAGTTTTGGGTCTTGCACTTCAAGAAAGATGTGGACAGATTAGAAAGAGTCCAGCGGAGAGGAATAAAAATGAGAGAGACCTGGGAAACATGACTTACAAGGAAAAGCTGAAAGAACTAGGGTTATTTAGTCTGGAGAAGAGAAGACCAAAGCGGGATTTGATAACAGTCTTCAAACATCTGAAGGATGATTATAGAGAAGATGAACTAGGAGTAATGGCCTCAAGCTGCAGCAAAGGAAATTTAGATTGGAAATTAGGAAGAACTTTCTGATTTATGAGGGTGGTCAAGTATTGAAGCAAGTTACCAAGAGAGGTTGTGGAGTCTCCAGTTGTCAAGGGCAGGTTAAACAGAAACTTGGCTGGGGTGGTTTAGTCAGGAATGATTCTGCTTTGAGCAGGGGGATAGACTAGATCAGTGTTTTTCAACCCATGGGTCACAACCCAAAAGTAGGTCACAAGAATATTTGAAAGGGTTGCAAGCAGTCACAGAAAAATGTGGGAAAGCATGGGTTTCCCCTTGCAGGCTGGCAACCTTCCAACCTGCAAGGAGCTGCTTGGGGCAATTAGAGGCAGGGGGTGCCTTTGCATCTCTGCTTGAACATGCATATGGCTGGCATACATCCAAGCAGGGTGGTGGGAGCAGCCCTGGCACCTGGATGCAGGTAAGTCTATGGCAGTGGTCTCCAATCAGTCAATCTCAATCGACTGGTTGATCATAGAACCTCTGACAGTCGATCTGTCTGTCAAAGGCTCCACAACTGGGGGTAGCAGGACGCGCATGGCTGGGCTGAGCCACGCCCCCTGCCGCCTGGCCTGAGCTGGGCTGGGTGAGTGGGATCAGAGCCTGGGCAACTTGTCCAGGGTGCAGGGCGGTGAGAGGGGGGCACGGTAAATCCTGGGGTGCCAGAAAGTGATCTTCACCATAAAAATGTATGGAGGGCAGGGGTTGGAGGGCCAGGTCTGGGGGCTGTGAGGGGAGTGGGTGCCTGCTGGTGGTGTTGGAAGGTGTCCAGGTGCGGGTGCAGGCTGGAGGCATCTGTCACTCCAGTGGGGAGAGGGGCAGGGGGAGCCCCTTGGGGGTGGTGGGGAGCTGCATGGCCTGGCCAGAGGCACCAGGGCCAGTGCCAATGCTTGCAGAGGCAGGGCAGCCAGGAGACGCTGCTTAGTGGGGAGAAGCATGGCCAGGCTATGTGGTATGGCGCAGAAGCCCCAGCCCAGGCCAGGGAGTACCACCGGCCTCCCTCCTCCCTCCAGCCTATGCCAGGGCTGGACTCACTCTGCTGCTGCCCGCACAAGTTAGAGCCACTGCAGCCTCCATGCTCTGGCTCTGGCAGGACAGAGGCAGTTGGGGGCCCCCTCCAACAGGGCTGGGTTGGGGCAGGGAGCTACAGGTCAGCTGTGAGAGTCACTAGCAGGGCTGGGTGAGGGCCGCAGCTTGGGAGTGAGGGACACTGGCAGAACCAGGGAGCTGTGGCTTGGGAGTGAGAGGCACCAGCAGGGATAGGGAGCTGCAATTCGGGAATGAGGGGCATCAGCAGGGCTGGGGGCTACAAGTCAGGAATGAAGGGCACCAACAGGGCCAGTTTTCTGCTAGTCAGGAGTAAGGGGCACTGGCAGAGACAGGGGACTGTGCTTTGGGAGTGAGGGGCACCAGCAATTTGTATTTTACAAATTGCGCAATGATAAATGTCACTTCGGAGTCATAGAGGGCCACATGTTGATATTGCTGTTAATGTTCTCCTGTTGATATTGATTTCTCCTTAAAATTAAGACTGTTGAGCTGCTTTAACTTGTAGTGTTTAGTAAGTATTTTGGGGCCAGAGTACTTGTGTGTTTCCTACTTAAACTATTTACTGGGTCGGGACTGACCAAAACTGAGTTTTCTAATGGGTCCTGGTACAAAAAAGGTTGAGAACCACTGGCCTAGATGACCTCATGAAATCCAGTCTAGCCTTACTTTCCTATGATCCTACGATCATATCAATTTGGCTTTTTATGTTCACCTCTGGTAGGTCTACAGTTGACAATTATGTGTCTAAGGTTAATTTACCTTCAGGGGATGATGATTATTTATACAAATTTTGACAAACCTACACACCCCAAATTAGAATTAAAGCTCTTTTGCTACCACATTAAACAAACAATACAAACAGCGTTCATGCCTCAGAGTACTTGAAATTTGCTTAATGAAAATTTATTAATGAGCTCCATTCATCTAAGATTGTCCAACTACAATAATTGTTGCAAACAACGTTTTTAACGAAATCCAGTTTGGTTGTTAGGTTTAGACCTGTCCTTGCTCTTCACCCATTTTCACAAGCTGTTAATATAATGGCACATTACTGAATATACAGATTTATAACTTCTTTGAAAATACATTGTGTTTGAAGTCCTTGTGCAGAAACCCACAGTTCTCTTTTTTCTTCAAACAGTTTTTCAAAATGCAGTGTGTTAGCTATTCAAGTCATAATAATCTAACTTAATTGTAAGCTTTAAAGGTTATGTAAAGCACAGGGCAGTCTATCAAAGTCTGATTTGAAAAATATCCTTCTGATTAGCATGGGTATTAGAAGACTATGCAAATATTTGTCCACAAAGGAATATAGCTGAAAGGAAATTCTACTTCGAGAACTATTGCACTGATGGCAATTCTTGTTGGAAAATGCTTTTAATAAATAGGCTGTCATCCATTGACCTGGGAAGGCTAAGTAGATTTATCTGCTTAATGGATGAACAAAATTAGACCAGATTGTTTTCAGGCCAGCCTGCGCAGATTAGTCTGCAGCAAACATCTGAGGATAATTACTCTGAAACTTCTCATTTGTAAACATTTGATGTGCAGTGCAAGCTGCTTGGCATCATTCCTAATTTCCCCCACTCAAGACAGAAAGCTCCTTCTTTTGCAGGTGAAGGCAGATTTTAATGCAGGATTAAATTTAATAAAAAATATTGTGCTGTTCCTGGCTAGGACTATATGCTGACTTTTCCTGATACACTTAAATGGTAAAAACTATTGACAGTTTTTATGCCTAGTAAACTACTATGCAAGTTACATGCTGAAATTTGTATTGAAGTTTTCTCGGATATATTTGTTACTTTATTTTTCCATTCTTTCAAATTAGGTTTTCTGTTGTTCTGTGCACATCAGAATTCCTCAGTTGACCTGTATATTTAAGAGCGTTTGGATACATCATAGCCAGATTTAGCTAAAATGAAACTATGGACTGAATTAGTAAAGTGTTAAAGAGAGGCAAGAATTCTAGCAAGTGATATCTTTTACTCGACCAGCTATATGGTTGGTATAGACATAGGCAAGCTTTTGGGTACTGAAGTACCCTTCTGGGGAGGCCTGGAACAGGAGGGCTGGACCCGATGATCTTCAAGGTCCCTTCTAGCCCCTAACAATCTATGAATATAGTTGGTCCAATAAAAGATACCATCCACAGGAAGTCTTGCCTATCTCCTGGACCAGGGGTTCTCAACTCCCAGCCCATGGGCTAGATTTGGCCCCCAGTGTTGTGTCATCCAAGCCATGAGGCTTTCTGTTGGTCTGTGGGGAGCTCTGCAGGCCATGGCCTTACACACTAGATTGAACATGTAGGGCAGCACCAAGCCAGATTTGAGCACACAGGGGAGCTGGGCCCAGTCAGAGTATATGGGGCCCTGGTATCTGATCAGGTCATGAGAGATGATGTGGGGCCCCAGAGCATGATCAGGGCCTCAGAGGGCAATCCTGGCTTGCAGGGATAGGTCGAGGTGGCACAGGGCCCCAGAATCCAATACTGGTGTGTGGGGCCCCATAGCCTGATCAAGTGGGCAGGGGTGGCAGTGAGCCCCAGGGCCTGATTCTGGTGCATCGGGATGGCATGGGGCCCTGGAGCCGGATCCTGGTGTGCAGGGCTGAGTGGAAACACCAGGGACAGATCCTGGCATGCAGGGTCCAATTCAGGCTGCACACTGGCTCTGCAGCACTCATCTACCTCACAGGGCCAGAATGCTGAGCACCATTGTCTTGGACCATGATGGAAATAACATCACCTCAATGCTACTAAAATATTGAGATTCTTTTCAACTCCAGGCATGGAATTTTTTTATAATATCTTTTATGGGACCAGTTATATAGTTGGGAGAGATGTTAGACAAGCTTTCAGGCACAAAGTGTCCTTCAGCGAGTCTAGTCCTGAAGAAGGGCACTTTGGGCCTGAAAGCTTGTGCATCATCTCTCCCAACTATACAGCTAGTCTCATAACAGATCACCAAAAAATTCTTACCTATCATTTGCCAGTATTTCCTGGACCATTACTGCAGCAACAACACTCCACCCCTACTATATTTTGAAAACCAGACTTAAAAATAGGCAAAAATGTTCAGATACTGCCCTTAAACATTATTTTATAAAATGAATATAGAAACAATAGAAACTGCTGAGTATTATAAAACTACTTGTGCTTACCCAGTCATTGTGTTGCAGTGATTTTTCAAGCGAGTATCCAATTCAGTCTGAGAAGCTTTTTATTAAGAGTCAGAACATCGGGATTCCTTCTGCATTTTTCATGTGTAAAAGAATAACATTCTGAATAGGTTTTATGGTGCTACTGGGATTTATTATGTTTCCAATCAATTGAAGTATATTTTGACATGGCATATGAAAACCCAGTCTGTGTCTGGGCTAATAACTCTATGAAGGAATTTCCTGGTTCCTTTTTTTCTTTCCTGGCATGTTGTGGGGACAGCTAAATTTGCTGGATTTTTCATGTTCTATATTTTGCATGTTGCTGTATCTTCCCCAAAACCCTGTTATTACCACAGTGACTTATGCTTAATCACACTCTGAGCTTTGGCCCATAAGTGAAAATACTAGTTGATATCAATTTTGATGATGGTTAAATTTTTTTGAGAATTGCATGGATGCAGGTAGTCACAATGTAGTGCAGTTTGCCTAATTTAGTGCCACTTTCCCTCAGCTTCATGGAAGTGAGGAGCTTGCAGCAAACTTCAGTTGCTCATCTCCTCTAGTTCCCATGCTGCATCTGTTTGATGTGGCACTCTCTTAATAAGCGCACTTGGCCAGTTTGTACTCCAGGTTCTATTCACTGCTTGGCTGCCTACTGTAGAAGACATTTGGCTTGCTGATGGCCACCTTCTGCTGTGCTCCATGAAAGAGTGCTGGAAATATTCACTGTAATCCAGTAAACTCTACCTTGTAGGTAAAGATGGAAAACAAGAGTTAGTGCAAGGACATCTTGGTAGAGTTGGAAAGCAAAATGTCAGATTGTCTGTGTGCAGTAAACTGACAAACTATGCCAGATTTCCTGGCCCCAGCATGATGGAGTTTACAAGGCGCTTTTTAACTTATTATTTCAAGTCCTCTGCAAACATAATGATGAAGCTCCACTACTTCAAATTCCGTCAATATTTTCCACATTAACTTGTCAACTTAAGGGCTAGAATTGTAAATTAAAACAAAATAGGGAGCTCAGAGTTTAGATAATGGTTCTTTGGAAGGGGATTACTATAGCCACAAAATCACAGAATGTTCTTAATATCATAGATTTTTCTTTTTAATAAGGCGTTTGCTTCAGTGGTAGTGGGTATGTAATTTCACGCACTGCTACCTGTGTAATAATTAACGTAACCTCATAACCCCATCTCATAGTCTTGTGCTGTTGTAATATTAACTGTGTTTCTATCATGGTATTGTGCAGTACTGTCAATTTGCCTCTTGACATCTTAGTATATCAATATAAGGAAACTGCAGCTTTTTGTATTGGTATGCTGGCCATATGATGTTGAATATTAGTCTCGTTAAAAAGGTGATAATAATACTTTCATGGAGTAAAATTGTCAAGGTTATATTAGATAGAGTGCTCTGATTTAGTTTCAGAAATCTAGATAAATTACATAGGCATTCTTGGCAGTATCATAAAATCATATTGTTCTTAAAATTCTGTATGTTTCTAATGTCTCTTATGTTCTTAACTTCAGGGGACAAACTCCTGCTGAGTCTGATTTCCAGGTACTTGAAATTGCTCGAAAACTGGAGATGTATGGCATTAGATTCCATCTAGCATCTGACCGGGAGGGGACGAAAATTAACCTAGCTGTTTCACACATGGGTGTCCTTGTCTTCCAGGTACGAAGGGAGAAGCATATTAGATCTGTCTTGCTTTTAATTACAGTGCATTAAGTAGCAGTTTCTTGTTTTAATTTTCAAAACTCTTTTCTGACATTAACATCCTGGCCTTATCCAGTAGGAGGGCAGTGAAGAGGCTGACCTGGGGGGGATGAAACAAGTATTTGCATGGCAGCTGCTTCTCAAGTTACTGTGCTGCTCATCTGTAATGACAGTAGTTGTTCTGAATCCTCTAGAAACTTTTGTTGTGATACCTGGTTCCTTATCTATTTTTGTTAGATACCCAGTTCCTTATCCATTTCATTCACAATTAAGAGGCTTTAAGACTTTTTAATAAACAAAGCTGAGATTTTATGGAAGCAGGAAGGCACCTGGGGAATTTAACCAGAGTGACCACATACCGTATGTTAGAATTTTACAAGGTTCATCTTAACCTCTGCAATGTACAGTGGAAGGTTTAATTTAAAAATCAAACCATAAAATATTTGACATTATTATCCTTTATCCTTTAATATCTGATTTAGAGACCATGTGTTTTCTGTTACTTTACAAATGATGTTGCATGGCAGATAAGGCTTGATCCGAGGAATGCATTTTCCAGAAAATAGATTTGACGAAGGGCAGGGGGGCTGGACACATGCATGCAGTGTGCGTGAGAGTCATCTTTTGCTGCTATTTTAAGAACTAGTTTGATTGTTTAAGTTTTTTTTTTAATTTAGGGTAGCACAAAAATCAACACCTTCAACTGGTCCAAGGTCCGTAAACTAAGCTTCAAGCGGAAAAGATTCCTTGTTAAACTCCATCCAGAGGTTCATGTAAGTTTTGCCATATCCATAGCCCTGGCCATATCTGAAACATTCTCTTAGACATTTCTAGTATTTAACTGTTTGGTAGAGTTTTATGAAATGCCATCAGAGAGGGACAGGGTTTTTTTTCGCTTTTTTTCATAGTTCAGGGATGTCAGTACCCTATATTACCCAACTGACCCTGCTTTGCATTTCAGAGTTTTCGTTCTCCTTTATCTGTCTTGGTTTTTTCAGACAAAGATTCAAATACCCATTAATGAGCATCATGGCTGTGTTATTCAGTATGTAATCCTTGTTGTACTTCATTTTATTTTTAAAGGAAAGCTGTACCTAGTCCTTGTTTCTTAGGTATAAATGTCCATATTGCTAGATTGTCTTAGGGTCATATTCTGTCTTTTCTTTATGGTGGAGAAAGTTAAAAAAACATTCATTGGCAGGGATGTTTGCTTTGGTTAGACAGTATGTGAAGTAATTAGGCAGTTGTGAAGTGGCTGGCTAATCCTTTTGAAAGTGACAGCCTGGTTTGTCTAACACACAAGACTGAAGGAAATATGGCTAAATTTAAAGGGGTTAACACTGAAGAGCAAACATTTTATGCACCTTGAACCCAACATGTTGGTACCTAATTGTTTGACAAGTTGTCACGTAGTGCTTGTTTCAGGATGTATACGTGATGAAGTGAACTTGGACTCATGAGAGCTTGTGCTTTCTGTGTAGATCTTATTTAGTTGATCTATAAAGGTGCATCTCTACCCTGCCTTCAAACTGACTGCAGGCTACCATGGTTAACCGCTTCTCTATCCTCTTTTGTGGCCATATTCCAACCTCTCAGGCTTATAATATGCAGTCATGGCAGTTGAGCCAGTCATGTCACCGTTCCTTGGAGTAGAGGTCTAAAAATCCTGTGAAACAGTATCCATTATCCCATGAGATCTTGTAGGCTTTGGCCAGAATTTCTTCAGACTCTTGGGTTCCACATGCCAGAGAGGCAGTAAACCCTCCTCTGCACTAGTGCTAAACACAGACACATGTGGAGAATGTGGTGTCCTCACTTCAGTTTACAACCCACTGCATTTTTGCAGTAAATTTTTTTGCTTCTGCAGAGTTTTCCATGGATGAGAATGAACTGGTTCAGTACCAGTAAGGCTCAAAGGCATTGGTTACCTGGAATGTAATTGTAGACCAGTTATCATGTTTGCAATATGCAAAATGTAGTACTGGCGGGTGTTCAATACACTGACTTTATCATTTTCTTGAATTAAACTTTTTATTATTAATTTAATTGATTTATTTTGATTAATTATTAATAATTTTAATAGCTCCACGTGTCAAAAATTGTTTCCCTATTTAATTTCTATTAACATGGAATTTTCTGTATTAAGTTAACAGGATTTCAGAATATGTAATTACAGAGGGCTTATGTGAGCACTGTTGTCTGGTTACTATAATTTTATAGTATGAGTCTTGAGGAACTTTGTTTCAGCTGAGTTTTGCTCTAACTTGAATCTATATGTAAAATAGTAGACACAGCCCCAAGTTGAGTTGTTATAAATGTTCCAGTACAAAGAAGGAAGGAGAATAAAGCATCAGACTGAAACAGATCAGTTGTAGATCTACTTCCCATGTCCTATCAGTGGCCAGTGTGGGCCACTTTAATATGAAAAAATGCACTGCAGTCCACAGTTTCTTCATGCCCCCTGTTTATAGTTATTTTATGCCCTGAATCATGATGATTGGATAAAAATTACAAAGGTTGTCAAACTTAACACAATTGTAAATTATTATACTGAACACTTGCATTGTTTTTCTTCAGGCCTCCTGCAAGCTAGTTCATATCTCCTCTTCCTCCCAGGTGTGTGTATCCCATGTTTGGGAAGTACCTGTAATAAGAGTCCTGGTCAGTCTCAGGAGAAACAAAGATTTGCTGTCCACTTACTACAACGTGTATGATTCTTAGCTGATTGGGTGATGATGACCATGGCCCCATAGTTATGTTGTGTCTGGATGTCTACAGGGTCAGTTTTACCAGGGCATCATGTTAATACATCCAGGAACTCTCTCATTCAGAAACATGGCTGGTGATCTAAGGCATGCTTAATAAGCCACTTCAAAGCATAGGTTCAAGGCCACCTGACTTCTTGGAAAACAATCTACCAGAAGAATTGAAATGGAAATGGAATTAAACCCCTGCCAGTAACTTTAAATGGAAATTTTTTGGTACAATGTGAAAAGTCTCACTTGCATCCATTTAAATTCCCGAGGGAACCATGTAGCATAGTGACAAGATTGCGTTTGTACATTTCCTCCATCAGCTTGTTGAATCTGTGAAGCGTAGTTAAAAAGTTGATCATGTGAGCTTTCTTAATCCTGATAAAATAAAGTAATCCTGACATGCCTAGTGAAACAAACAGAATACATGGCTGAAGTGAAGTTCTCAGTTGAGGAAGTTTGTCTTCTGTTTGTGATTCAGAACTCAAGACTGCTGTTTTATCTTTTTTTTCCCCTTGATGTCCATATAGCGTAGTGGCTAAAAGTGCTTGTTAAATAATTTCTCTCACTGAGGATACTGTATGCCTTTGCTCTGTACTCTATAATGACTTCAGTATTTCTTCTAGTTAAATTTTCAAGTGTTTTAATTTATTGCCATACACCGGGGATGTTAAATTCTCTTGGCTGTTGGCCTGGATATAGACCTAACTCTGGCAGTGGGGTGAGCAGCATCAAGGGCCACAGAGGTTAACCCAGCCATTTCTTGCCTCTCTGCTGCCAACATGTGTCCCCAGTGGTGCCACTACATGTCCCACTCCTGCTCACCCCACCCATGAATTCCTAGGTTCTCCAGGAGCCCCTGGGGCTGCATGATACAGCTCCGTAGGTCATATCCTTGACACCCTTGCACTCTATAGCAATACTGTGAACACTTCAGAGACCACTTAACTCCTCCCATGATGCTCTGGCAGTTGTGATTAGCTATGACTCTTGAATTATATACCTTCTAGAGTGAAATAGAAGGGGGCTGAAAAGAAGAAGCTTTACAATGAGGTATCACACCCTTTTGGATTCTTTTTTAACAAATGCACCTGCACAGTTTACATGCAGGGAGGGGAGGGGTTGAGAGAGCAACACCTGACTTTGAGTTAAAGCTGCTTGTGGCAGCTTTAAAAAGGGAGGGGGAGTTTCTGCTCCCAACCAGGAAGCAGCTGTTACACACTAACTGTCAGGTGTGCATGAGCCTGTCATGATACAAGTGTAGTAAAATGACTCCAAAGCTCCTTCATCCAAGATTAAGGTTGGTGCAATTTAGCTCCCTTGTATTGCTATAGGATCCTGCATATGTAACAGCATAACACCTGCTGCCTGGTTGGAAGCACTAGCTTTCCTTCCCCTTTTGAAGATGCTATATGTGCATGTTTGTCCATGTCACTTGAATGTTATGTCACGCCGAGTCTTACTGCAGCTTTTGAGTTGAAGTGGCAAAGCTAAAGAAGAAATATAACAAAGCTGGGAAAGCAGACAGGCATGACAACTGTTTAAGTAAAAATATTTAAACCCTTTTGTGTTGGAATAGCTTTGATTCCTGTAACCAAATTACTCATGTTATAATCTCATTTGTATATGTGAGCTATAACTACCATAATTTTACAGATTTTTTGCAGTTTATTCTTTTTAAGCACTCATGCATTTTCTGAAGCATATCATTTTAAGATATTGGAGATTGCATATTTTTTATGATGCATTCCAAAAATATTATAGTTCATGACACTTGAATAAATGGGCCATCTTTGCTGATGTGTATTTACTGTTTTCCTCTACTTTTGGTATTCTTGAGTGCAGGTTGAGTCTCTGTGGTTTTTTTTCATAGGGTCCATATCAGGATACATTGGAGTTCCTGTTGGGAAGCAGAGATGAGTGTAAGAACTTCTGGAAAATCTGTGTGGAATATCACACTTTTTTCAGGCTGTTTGATCAGCCAAAACCAAAAGCTAAAGCAGTCTTCTTCAGTAGAGGATCTTCATTCAGATACAGGTATGATGTAGTATAACTTGTCGTATTTGTAAACTTCACTTTTTATATGTAGGAAAATGGAATCAAGAAGAAAATGTACTCAAGTTCCAAGTTCCATTTAAGTTAAAGGATTTGGATTCTGTTACCAGTGTTGTAATATTTTTTTGCCCTAGGCCTGGACTATTTTTCCATACCTTTTGCAATACTTTCTTTAACTTTTGCACTTTGTATGGGTTCACAGTGGACGAACACAGAAACAGCTGGTGGACTATGTTAAAGACAGTGGGATGAAGAAAACTCCCTATGAAAGGTAAACCTCTTGGTTTTACAAGGTGAAACTTCTGAGATATCAGTTTTAATGAAATTTATGTTTTAAAATCCTTTCCCTCTTTTCATAAAATCCTAATCAGATTATGGAGGGCAGGCTCTTAATTCTGCTTATTTACTGTAAAAAACGTGTATTTAAAGTTGTAGGACTCCCTTTGAGACGTTGCATTTTGACTTCCATAGCTACCAAGAGGTTTAGTAGCCTAGAATTCTGTTTTCTTGGAGTCACTGAAATGTGCACAGACATTTTAGCATAATATTGTGATGTGTATGATATGAAGATCAGATTTTGACTAGAGGGGAGTTGCAGTCAAGACACACCCACCCACATCTGTGCTTGCACGTCTTTGGGCTGTGGCAGTAGGAGAGGATTGTCCTCAAAGGAAGCCAGAAAGTGTTTATGGCCTGTGCTTTTTTGGGGAGTCGATCAGGGAAAGTCATGTTTTAAATCTTTCAGGGCTTTGTATGGGGCCTAGTGCTGAGTGATGTGCTCAATTTGTATAGCCTCAAAGTCCTACCTTTATCTTTTCCAATCTTATCTATTTTATAGCTGTGCTGGCATCTTATTTACCCAGTGGAGTGATGTGTGCTTGTTTGTTCTACCTAAAGCATGTGTGTGTAAATGCCTTCCCATCATTTTTGACTTGTTATTTTTGGTGCTATTTAGTGAATATTAAGATTTTGAGAGGGAAGAAAAAAAACTCCCTAACTTTTCCCATCTGGTGCAATGGCAAGAAGAATTGCTAGGGAAATCATCACACTCTTGCACGTGCGCGCACATGCACACACCCCCCCTTCCTTCTCTCCCCAGTTTCCTACTAACTGAGAATTAAGAGGTTGTCAGGAAGAACTAGCAGAGGTGGTATCACAGGTATGTAATACCAGTTCTCTGGGTGGTTTATTTCTTAAAGAGCAGTCTCACCTCCAGTATCAGGGTATGGTGATCCTGTTGATGAACCCCTTTCACCATATACCCCCTGGGTGATCAGAGGTGCTGCAATCACTGATTTGTTTCTCATGCCCTGACCATGCTGAAAGTTAGGAGTTGACATAGGACAGGTGGCTAGGGGGAAGCATATTGCAGGAATTTCCTTCCCATCAACTGTTTCCCATGAAGTCTAATGAAAAGCCTAATCAGCTAATAAATAGAAATACATTTACTAAGATCTGTCTCTGAAGATGTCTGTACTTGAATGAATGTCCTGTTTAAAAGCCAACCAACAAGCAGCAATGAAAAAAACCCATGTGAACAGACCACACAGTTTTGTAAGAAACAATGGAGGAAAAATTTTCCCAGGAACCAGAAGAGTGCCAGGAGAAGTGTAGTTTTGAAATAAACAACAGAGGTCCCCAGCAGACTTTCAGTTACAGGTGCGATGGGATCTGAACTGCGATCCTAACAATCACATGCATAACAGGAGGCACGATTGTGGGACTGGAGGAGCTTTGCTGCAGGAGCTTTGACTGCAGGAGGGCATGGAACCCTTGGGTCAGGTGCGCACCTGCAGCTAGGAATGCATGGGAGCCCTTGGCTCCAATACCCTCCTGTGGCTGAGAGCCGTGATATGATTAAAGGGAACCAGGTACAAAGTTACTAACCATTTTTATGTAGTAAGCATGTTTTATCGCACCACTAACAGTGAGTGCATGGCAGGTTTACTACTTAAGATATGATTAACTGATTAATCATGTCTTAAGTGTAATGTCTGCTAGGGGCCAGTATTACAGCTTTGCACTTGAGTCTCCAAGTCCTGGTGTACACAGAAACATTACCACAAGCTAGTGTCATCACTAGCTTGTGTGCAGCACAGTATAACTGTAGGTGTTTGCCTTAGGCAAACATTGTTCAGTCATTTTAGGAAACTGCAGGTAGGACTTGTTTCAAAAAGAACAAGGCTTGTCCACAATTTTATGCTCCTGAATGCAGTTTGCCCATATTTATATTTGCAGTTAAGCCATGTTCAGCATCAGACCACACAGACAGCCACTGTCAAGTGATTAGGATGACACTTCTTATGTGATGCTGAGGTCTTGTTGGCAAACACAGTCCTGTTGCTATAGTATGAAGAAACTGGCCGTGTTATCCTACTTGAGAAATTATACAAAACTAGTTGACTGTCTTCACCATTGCATCTGAGGGTTTATGAGCAGAGGCTGAGGGAACTGGGCTTATTTAGTCTGGAGAAGAGAAGACTGAGGGGGGGATTTAATAGCAGCCTTCGACTACCTGAAGGGGGGTTAGAGAGAGGATGTAGCTAGACCATTCTCATTGGTAGCAGGTAACAGAACAAGAAGCAATGGTGTCAAGTTGCAGCAAGGGAAGTTTAGGTTAGATGCTAGGAAAATCTTTCCCACGAGGAGGATAGTAAAGCACTGGAATAGGTTACTCAGAGAGACTGTGAAATCTCCATCTTTGGAAGTTTCTAAGACCTAGGATAGAAAAAGGCTTAGCTGGGATGATCTTGTTGGGGGTGGTTTTGCTTTGACCAGGGGGTTGGACTAGATGTGACCTCCTGAGGTCTCTTTCAACCCTCATTTTCTCTGATTCTATGAAGCAATTTCTGTTCAGCCTCACTTTTTCTGTTCTTGTAGTTGGTTTTTGAATTTTTTTCCTTTGAAAGTTCTGAATCTAGAGTGCTTCTGTGTTTGTTTTTCATTCAGAAATATTTTATATTGTTGTTATACCTCTAGTCATAACACAAAAGGTAATGGGGTAAGTTTGATTCTTTTTTCTGAGTTAGTAGAATAGGGGCAATTGAGCAGGGGACGAAGACTAATTAACTTAGTTTCTCACAGTATGTTTTGTCATCTGCAGGAGGCACAGCAGATCTAGAGCGTCTGCCCACACCTTTAACACAAATGTGCCAAAACAGGTAAGTCCTGCAACACATTAATATTACAGTCAGGAAAACCCTGACAGTCACCTTCCCTGCAGGCAGTGTAAGGAAAGATGATCCTGCTGTACTGCCACCCAAAATTGCTTTTATGCAGATTAGTATTTTTACTTTTGCATAACTTTTTTACCTGTGATACCAGTTTGAATGAATGCACTGTATGGAAGCTAAGGTGACTCGCATAATTTACCTTTCACATTTTGTTTAGCTGTTAAGAAAATTCTACACCTGTGTTCCTATCGCAATAATCAGTTATGTCCACAGGTCTCAGCTAAGATGTACCTGCAATACAAGCAGGTCGAGTTGTGCCAAAACAAGGGCTTTGGCCCTAAGCATTTTGTGAATTTTTTTTTCCAGTTCCCACGTGGTAGTTCCCTTGTTTCTACAGTTAAAAATGTTGTGGAAATTTTATCTCAAATTTTTCAGAATCTGTAAAAGATGGTCTTGTATCTCCCTGGGGATGCTGGTTCTATTTCTAGACATGAAGCTACATTTGCAGAAGCATTTCTGTTTTAAGCACAAACTCTTACTAAGTTAGTTATTGGACATAGTATTATATTTGTGTAGGATAATAATAATTAAAAAAAACAAAACACTTTTACCTGCTCTATTTTTTTTCCTTTCAGAATGTCTCGTTTACTGAGACCTTAAGACTTCCTGAGTCTTCTGCCTCAGTATCTGCCCCCTTCTATTCAGTCCATACATCATCCACCACCACCAGCAGCACACCCATCTTAACAGACACCAGTCCTTCCTCCTTGGACCCTAGAGCACCATACATGAGGAACCCAACAGCAGAAAAGAGTCTTGCCACACCTGCTGAAGACACTGGGAAGAAAATGTCACAGCAGCCTGGATCTCCCATACTCCAGCCATTCCAAGGTGTTGGGTTTTGTAATGTTGCAGGAAACTGCAGCCCCACTAGTCCAGTTGTTGAGAGTAGCTGTGGCTTAGATCTAGCAGTAGACAAAGGTAGCAAAGACAGTAAGGCTGTTTGTAAAAATGACAATGATGAGGATGACTTTACCGCGGGTGTTTTCATTACTGATAAAGAGCATCAGCACTGTGGTAGGGGTGCTCCTCTTTTCACATTGACAAATTCACAGCTTCAGGTTTCAGAAGAATTTATTGATGATGACCCAGCAGAAATCTCCTTTTTTGCTGGGGGATCTGAGGCATTTTCCTATGTGTACAGTGGTTTAGGTCTAAAGGGGTCTGAATTTTCTAGGCATGCATCAGATTCACCTGCTTTAACTAAAGATGCTCTTCAGCAAAATATGGTATCTTCCCAGTCCAGCCCTGACAGGTACTCCACAGAAGCGGTAGATATGAACATGGAAGATGAATTTGAATTTGAAGGGAGTGATTTCAATGGTAACCAGAGGCCATCAGATACCTCTGAATTATTTGAGGTGAAAGCCCAAGCAAACAGAATGCAAAGCCTTCTGAGTCCTTCTGAAACCAGTTCACTCATAAACAACCGCTCTGAAAGCAGCTCCCTGAATAACTTGCCCCTAAATGGGTCATCCTTCCACACATACAGCTCTGCTAATCATTCTGAAGCTAGCTCCATGGTGAACTTCCCAGCCTACTCAGTTCGTTCTGAATCCAGCTCAGCCTTTCAGTTCAGTGATATCATTGACCAGCTGGAGCAGCTGAGCTATCCACCCACCACCACAGAAGACTCAAGCAGTACAGATACAGATTCCTGGGACTCAGGAACTGCAGCTCCATTGGATGTAAACCTCTTTTTCGGAAACCCCTTTACTCAGGCAACTGGTGAGAACTTCACTTTTGATTTTCAGAATAATTTAAAGAATCTTACCCAAGAAGACTGGACAGAAAAAACACAAATCAATCATTGATGGGTATATTGCTTTTTATGAGAGAGCCTTCTATGCCATTCAGAATTATTTTTCAAAACAGAAGCAGAATGTAAATCACTTTGAGCTGGAAAACATTTTGGTGCCTGGATTTTAAATTTACAGAATATTGTTGATTTCTCTCTCTTCTGCTTTTATGTTTTTTCCCTTGAAGTTTTCCAACTTTTGAACTTCGTTATATTGGAAGGTATGCATCCAGAATATACTATAATAAACTGCGATTTCTGTAGAATCACAAATTTAACAAACTTCCTTAACTTCAGAGAAAATCAGTTTTAGTTGGTCTATATAGAATTATGACAAAGGGTTATCTATTACAGCTTTATTTTTGTAGGAATGTATATGTACATCAGTTTCAATCGGGTGTCGTGCACTTTCTCTGACACCTGCCCACAGCAGTCCCACTTGCCTGTCAATGGTTAACAGGCCTTCCCTAGTGAATAGGGCTGTTGTCCTGCTATGCAGTGAGAGTTTGCTTTATTTTTTTCAGACAAATGTGGACAATCTATAAATCAGTTCTGAAGCATATTTTTAAAATACTAAGTATATGCAACAAAATATCTGCCATTATACCTCAAAGAACCAAATCTTAGAAAGCAATTTAGAAGAGGAGCGTGTACAAATGAACAAATATAAATAGGGTATTGCTTCTTGTAACTGTGAAGATGGTTGTTCAACTTACTCATCACAAAGTGCCTTTAGCAGTCCAGCAAAAAAAAGATTCTCTACTGTTTTGCAGCATTTTGGAAGTAGATGCGGAAATGATAAACTCACTAAACTCCTTATTTAATTTTCTTTTATTTTCTTTGTCTTAATTTAATCAATTACACTGCAGAGAAATGGCTACAAATTAATTAAATAATGGTTTAAAATGTGTACTTGATCTGAAAGAAATTCCAGAAGATAAATCTGTTAACAGCCTTCTGACTACACTGTATTCAGATGAACAATGTTAAAATAAGATGGCTTCTTTCAAGGATGTTACTTGACACAGTGCTGGGAAAAACTGAACAACATAATCCACATTGTTACTTTGACAGATATTTGTAGCTAGGAAATTATATCGCAGGACACTCAATCTGTAGTAGATTCATGTTGAAGCTGTAATTGAAAAGTTATAAACAAAGATTTCAGTGATCACATCAAGTTTCCTGTTTAATTAAATAAGTGGTGGTAGAAGTTATCAAACATATCTGCTTTCAGTCCATCTAATAGGAGTTCTGGTGCAAATCCTTATATGGTATTCCATAACAGAATTAATATTTTGCTTTTATTAGGGTTTGTGCAGAAAAATAAATAAATAAAATTCAAACATTCTATATTGGTTTGGGATTGAAAGCATTGCCTCGTGAGATAATTTGGTTTGCACTCTGTGGGTCAAGTCTTCCCCCTTTGTAACTTTAAAAGGGTAACGGTGCAATATTAGTACAGTGGATTCCTTCCAAAAGTAGGGAACAGTGAAATACATCGTTAATTTGTGGTTTTTATTGTTGTGTGTGTGGAACTGAGATTTTAAAAGGAACTTTCATATTTGACTTACCATTTAAAAGCCTTTTACACACATCCTGATTTAAAAAAACAACGTTCTTTAAGTCCTTTCAGTGTGCAATAGAACATTATGAGGTGATTATTCTTCAGTCATTTATTTCTTGTTCTACTTTAGGCTAGTCTAGTTTAGTTTTTTTGTTGGCACAATCATTTCTCAAAGCATTTGTTAGATATAATATTGTAATGAATGTGTACTTGTGTGTGAGTGGTATCCCTGCTGTTGCACTAGGAACTTTTTATTTGCTGATGGCATGAAAAAAATCAAAGCATGCCTTTCATATCATATGGTGAAGTGTTAGCTGTTTCAGGAGAGTGTCCTTCTCTGAATGCCTGGGTTTTGTTTTTTTTAAGAGCTATACATTAATCTTTTGCCTCAGTCTGTTGATCTAGATTCTAATTCTGTGTCTGACTTCATTTGTACCTGTGGAAATGATGTCACAAATGTGAAATATGGCATCAGTAAATAGGCAGCTAGAGAAGTTCTTTATGACAGAAGCTTTATTCTTTAGATATCTGCACAAAGGCTTTGATTGGAAAACTCTTGGAGGGCATGGAGAGTCACGTCTCTGGATCATGATGGGGCGGGGAGAGATGCTTTTAAAAAGGAACCCAAGATATTAGCACTTACAATTGCCCTCTGTTCATATTCTGATTTTGTCCCCAGATACAGACAAGGGCTTGCCTAAGGCTTGATTCTCTCTTCCCACAAATTCTACTTCAGATTCTCAGAAAAGCTTTGACACAGCTGTTCTGGGTTTTTCAATAACTATCCTTTGTAGTCCTATATGAAAGCTTGCTGTTCTTTTTTTCTTGAAGTTCAGTTAGTCTTAAAGGCTAGCAGTAATCTTCCCTAATCCTACCTGCACTTTGCACTTCTATGAATATTTTATTGGCAGTTACAAATTCCAGCTTTGTTTATAACACTGTTATATTTTAATATAAAATAATGCTTAACTTTCTAAGATACCCTAATAACCAGGTTTCAAGCATCAGACAAGGAGCCAGAATTCTTTCTTTTTTGGGTGGGGGTCAAGAAATGAATCCATTCCAATAGTAAGACAGTATTTTTAAGGAAGCAAAAAACAGGTAAGTAATTTCTCCTTTCAAAGCCTGTGACTTCACTGAGGGCAGAGTGTAGGGATATTAGAGTAAGAACATGTTGTTCAGATCAAAATAGGTTGTTTTCCAGCTGCTAAGAAAGAACATTACAGTGGATCACCTCCCTCTCCCACCAAGAAGCCAGAATGCAGGTGGCAGAGAGCAGAAACACTCTTCTAACGCAGATCTGAATCTTGTGAGGCATAGATAGATCTAAAACTGAAATGCTGTCTGGCAGACTGTTAGAGAGACCATCAAACTGTGTTGATGGTTTGGAAAAGGATGTTTCTCTTAGAGCTGCATACTGCTATCCATCAACCAAGGTATACAAGTACCTTCCCCTTGGGACTTTGCTCCATGGCTAATTGATTGTATAGGTTTTTTCTGGTCCTTTAGGATATATTCTGCTTGTAGTAGGTTGTTTGCTTTCCTGTCTGATTTGTTTTAGTCTTGAGCTTTTAGGGAGAGAGGGACGGGTAGAAAGGGTACTTGGTGTTCTAGTAGGTGTTTTGTTATGAAAGAAATACTTTATTGAAGAAGGCTTTGTGGCATTTCCTACAGATTGTCAAACTTCAGCTTCACTTCATCTTGCAGACCTGTTTCAAGGAAAAACCTGCTTCTGTGTCAGTGCAGAAGAACAGCCCTCTTCTAGGGGGGCTGTTTGGGGTTTAGTGTTTTTCACAGGCTAGGTGCCAGTTCTAAATTAAGCCACTGCTGCTGCAGTAGTGGCATCCTGCCACACCTGCTCTTCTCCCTATGACTGTCTGTTGGGACCAGCAGATGAAAAAAGTGAGAAGACAGCCTCTTCATTTTCCACTCATGCTGTTTTACCTTAACACTCTAGTCTGTGAGATATGATGTGCACTGTGTGTTTCAATGCAATTTCCTGAACTAAATTGCAACCAAATGCAACTTCCTGAACTAAGAATATAGTAGTGTCTGTTCAGTTTTCTCTTTCCATTTTTTGTACAACCTCACATTTTCCACAGCATAGTTGTATGGGTACTGATTTTTCTTTTTCCTTTTTTTGCTGTTTGCTTGAGCATAATTTTTTTCCTATAAAGATCAGTTGTTTGCTCCCTAATTTTAAATGAATGTGCTGGACACATCATCTGGAGAACTTGGACTTTTGCAATGGGAACCAAATCTCATTAGTAAAAGAAGTTATGGACGTGTAACACTCAGAAGGGGAAAAACACAGGAAACTTCTGAGATCTCTGTGAGGTATCCTGTGCAAGTTCCCTTCTAGATGAAGGAGTTAAAAAAATTGTGGGTGGAGGTGCAGCTGCTGCTGTATTGAGTAAGTGGTGGGGAGCAGTGGTTGCCCACAGAAACATTGCTCTCCTTTCCCCTTGAGATTTGGGGCCCTTCTCCATTTCTTTACCTCTGTCCTTTCCATTGTGGCATGGGGCCCTGCTTAATGTTTA